TAACCCTATAACTAAACCAGGCAAAGAGTCCATTCTGAGTGAAAAACTCACACCGGTGCCTTTTCTTTGTGGCATCGATCAGACTGGAGCAAACCAGTCCCCAGGTTGTTTATGAGTCAACATAAACCTAAAAGCCCCCCCACCAGTGCTCAAATAATCAATAGAGGTGGGAATTGTGTTTACTTCTGTGTTTCATGGCCTTTGAAATGTTGCAGATGGAAGAAATGCCTTCACCTGCTTCCTCTCCACAGATTCCCCCCCCCCCCCTTTTTTAAATTAAATTATATTTACAGAGCACCAATTTACAATAACAGTCATCTCATGAAGATCCCCCCTCCTGTTTTTTTGTTTTTTTTTGCCTCAAGAGAAAACACAAGCACAAACAGACCGTGGACAAGAAATATGACAAAATACTAACTGATACTATCACTTTATTAATGACGTCCGACAGTAAAATATAAATGCCTAGAGTAAAAAATGAGGGGATTTTCCCAATTTTAACGATACTGCAGACAAACAAAGGCGGCACTGGTTTAAGATTTGTGAGTTAAAAGGCATAACCTTGTTAAAAAATGACTGCAGGGTTCCTTACAGCAGTACAGGGCACCAACTGGAACCAAATAAACCCACAGACAAATAGTCTATGTGTCCATGGTTGTGGTTTCTAGACTGAAACAAGCATGGATAATCAATCTCTCCTTCCCATTGTGCATGCTACATACGGTAGTCCCCTATTTCCCACCACTCCCACACACTTTGTTGAGCAACCACTCAGTGCTTCCTGGGAACAATAACAATCTGGCATGAGATGATGCAAACATTTTATGCAAATACTGATTGCAAGCATCATTTATTTGTGTTGACTAATGGACAGGGTCCAGAATACTGCGAATGGGAACTTTGTTTTTGAGTTCAGCCAAGCACATACAAAACACAACTCTTGATATGCTCAAAAACAAACACAACAAAGATCTAAAGTTTATTTATTCAGTCTTAGCGTTGCTTGGCTTGTACTTTTTTGTGGACATTTCCAGGACCTGCAAGTGAACAACAAGATGGAGTCACAGATAAGTTCCAAAAAGTTATCCGTTCGTTGCGTTTTGCTTTACATTCTGTCACGTGTTAGGATGTAAACGCTGTTTCTGGTGTTTAGTTGTTAAACTTGTGTCTCTGACGGAGAGGCAGTCAGCATCCTCATCGCATGATTGATATGTAACATGGACGAGACATGGAACCACATCAGATGACTTGTATTGGCCTTTAACACATTTTTTGCATATGAACATATGAAAAAGTGGTACGATCCAGTACATCCTGGCAGTGTGACAGTGAACCAGGATGTATTAGGACCAGGAACCTGTAACTAAAGTTGATTTTATCCATTATTATCTATTTATAGAGGACACTCTTTTGTATGAGCAGCTGTTTCACAAGCTCAAGTAACTCGGTGCAAAATCTAATACAGCATTTAACTGTATTTCTCTCACATACAGCTTGCATACAAACTAGCCAGTTTGGATATTGTACTTTTACCAAATTTTCCTAGATCCAAAGCTTGTTCTTTGATTCCTGTTGAGCAGTGGGATTTAGTAGAGGGTCAGTTGTCAAAATTAAATGTATTTTCTGTCGCTACTATACTTGAAAGTGTCAGATGGTTACCCTGGCCTGACCTCAGTCAGGTTCTTCGCTTGCTGTTGTTTTTAACAAGCCACAGAACTCAGACAAATACTACTATTGGGCATAGATGGATACAAATTGATCTTCAGGGTATCCTTTGGGGAATAATGAAGAGCAAAGTGAATAAGACAAAACAAAGGATAAATAAAGGCAAACTTGACCACATAGGGACCTAAATGGGAAACAAAGAAAAGGAGGCTTCTTTGATTCAGTGCTAGCTGGTGTACTGTCGAAGGGCTGTTCAGTCTAAATTGCCTCTGGGTCATTTATCCCCTCCTCCCATGTGATGGTGGATCTTTTCAACCCTGAAAAAATGACGGAATGGCCCTCGTGCCACTTATGGTGGAAGAGATAAATTAGAGAAGAGACCTCAGATGCTGGGGAGTAAGATTTAGATTGATGGTCAAACAGTGGATGAGAATACCTCCATTGCCCCTGTGTTAACTCTTAAAGTGGATTTTTTTATGAAAAGAAAGGAAGACAAAAAAAGTTGTTTTGCACATTATTGCTGAAATAGTCACAGAACATTAAAAGCTGAGGTTTCATGCATTCTTATTTTGTTATATTACAGAGCGTGTGAAATGAATAATAATGATTTTATTTATTAAAGGATAATTACAGCAAATGTTCTATAGTGAGTGTGCTTATAGCGTACCTCTTTTACTCATCATTTTAAAGCTTCTTTAGCAATATTAGCATCATAGAACTGTCTTGTGTTTTCTTTCAAAAGCAGAAGTTGGAGTGGTAATTACTACTAAATTATCAGCTAAGGGTACCTAGCTTGGTTAAAGCAAGCTGCACTAAAATACTGTATGGGGATAATACATACTTTCTAATTATTACTAAGTAACAGACTAATAAAAAACTGGAACACAACTTATCCAAAGTGAGGCACAAACTTCTTGGATGGCTTTACAACACAGCAAGATACAAAAAAAATCAGTCAGATAATCTATTAAAATGTTCCAAAAGACACCAACAGCACATATACAGTTCAGAACTTGAGTTTCAGGCATTTTTGCATTGGCTGTTTTTTTAACTTCTGAGGTTTTTCCTTGGAAGGTACTCAAGGAAGAAAAACAAATGCCTTAGGCAGAAACAGACTCACTGGAACTTGTCATCAAATGCTACTTGACCTCACATGTACAACGAGTCACTTCTAAGTGACTTATTTGTGATTCACTTGTTATTAGAAATGCCTTTTCACTCTTCAGCATGTTTTGCACCCATATAATCAGTTAAAATGGTTCAGCCTGAATCATCCAAACACAAACTGTTTCCCAAACCTTCCAAATCTGATTGTAATTCAAAGTTGATATTTTATCCCCCACAAAGTGGCATCTACAAACATTTTCCGGTTTTTCTACAGGATCCTGCAGTGTGCAAGCAAAAGTTTGTTGAACTGCTAATATTTTTGGAGGAATATTCTAGCACGCATACATTATGCAAGTTTTATTAGGATAAATATTTACAGTTACCATTATCCTTGCGTGCATTAGAAGCAACTAAATGAGCAAATACAAATGAATGTGTGTTTTTCTAAGAGGTTAAGACTGTTCAGTATTCTGCTATTCTGATAAAGAAACACTTGATAAGATCTTCTGCATGACTAAAGAGCTTTGTGAGATTTGTAGGGCTACCATGTAAATATATGTTAAAATATATGTTAAATATAAAACCTCAAACCAATATCTAAAATTGTTTGTATTTGCGTTTGTATGTTTATACGATTGCTACAGAATGAACGAAAACCCCAATGCAGTTCTATTAACAACCAATAATCCAACTATAATAATCCAAAGTTATGCCAGTTTGTTTAACTGGGCAATATAAATTTAATGTGACTTGATGATGACGTTTCTAACTCCAGAGTACACAGTTGACACACCTGGCAGTGCGTGTGTTAGTGCCCTTTGATAGAAGCCGTCTACAGTGATACACACTAAGGCATCAACTTCAAACGCTGGCTCCCCCCCTCTGAGGTGAAGCTTTCCAGTGACGCTTGAGGCAAACACTTTTTTTGGTAGATTGGAAAACAAACAGACAACTGAATCCTGCTTGTCTTGACCTGATTACTAACTGAAAAACCACAGGTTAGTAAATAGCTAGAAGCACACCCTCTCATCATGGGAAATGTCACTTCAACCAAGCATTATGCTCAACACTGCATGTATTGCGCTCCTCTTGTCATAATGTGTGCTTCATGGAAATATTAAGACACATACACACATGCGCACACATAAAAAAAGCCCCACCAAAGTACATCACTGGAAACACTGGACAAATATTGGACTTTAATTACTAATCACTGTATTACGTTGTACTTATACTTCTTTACGGATTCATTGCTTTTATTTGCTTACTTAAGCAGCTACATTGCAGCATTGTGGTCATACATAAAAATGTTTAACTCACTAGAAAGTTTATAAAGTATCAGAACCATCTCAACTATGTTTCTGGTGCCTTTTGGAGCATTTTTACTGTCATCATTTGACAAATAATATGGCTTGCTATGGAATCCAAAAAGTCAAAGTAATTTTATTGGTGTGGTACTTGTCACCAGCTAGTGTCTGTGACACCCAGGACAGGAATTGGCAGGGGAGTGCGAGGGGATGGGAGGTTTCCAGCACAAAAAAAACAATAAAATGAGAAATGACTATCACTTTTAATATCTGGTGATCCCTTGAGAGCAGAGAGGACATGTCAGGGGTCTGGGATGATCTGTATCCCATTCTGTTCACATTTTTCATTATGTCACCCCACCACTACTACTTTTTGAACTTGAAAACTACCCCTATTTAAATAAAAGAGAAATCAACAGGAATCATAGTCAAACGTAACTAAATTCCATAGAAAGTTGAATGCTGTAGCTTTTTATTTGAAATTGCAGTTATGCAGAGCATCTTGCACAGTTTGTTGATTTTGCAAGTGATGGAGTAATGGGCTGACAAGAGAGGAACTGTCTGGAGGCATGCAGATGTGGGTTAAAAAAAAAAAGGTTACACTTTGTAGCAAGCGGAAAAATCTTTTGTCAAAACAGACTTTTTATTTTTAGAAATATGCTTTATCTGAACTTTTTTTTATTCTTTCCTGAAACTGATTTTGTGCCGATGCTCAAGTGACACGGCCGGCCAAATAATGCAAGTAGAAGGGGGATTTAAATCTGGCATCTTAAAACAGTTGTATTGCTGCATTTGATTGTGAGTGTTTGAAAAAAGGTCAATGCTAAAACTGAGGGTTCACAATTAGGTTTTACAAACAATGGGTAATGTCACAGTGGCTACTTAAATATACACACACACACACACACACACAGACTCGCATTGACACAATTGTGCTTTATTGCTGTACAAGTACAGTACTTAAAAAATTGGGAACATAATAATTCTGAAATATCACAATCATTTTTTTCTTTCCACAAACACATATGTATGCAGATTAAAATATACTGTATGTCATGTACAAAAGAAAGATTACAATAAAAAAAAAAACAACAACAACAACAACAATATGAAAGGCAGTGCTGAAATATCATGTCTCTCTGGACAACTATAAGTGGACTGGAGACAATAGATGGCCATTGTACACTGGCAGTAGCACCAGAGAGGTGATCTCAGAGCAGAGGATTTATAGATTCCTGGCTAACGAATATGACTGGCAGTATTTTGGCTGCCGGAGCTTACTTCAGAGTGAGCGAATTCATCAAGATTTGTATGTGATGAAGTGGACATATTAGCAGATGGGTTTATGTGGATATGGATGGATGATGTGTTTAGCCGAGACAGTGGGGGACAGTGGAGTGATTCACAGTGCAGAGGGAAGCAGTTCTTCACATTAGACAGCCTTTATCTTTTCTGCACGAGCATGTTATACGGGGAGGACACCCAACATGTGGTCATGCAAGGTAAAAACCACTGATATGCTTTAAAATACAATTTAAAAATGTCCTCATTTCATGACTTCCATAAACATAAGTATACACAAAACTGCACACGACCAACCATAACTCTGATTATACTGAAGGATAAATACCAAAGCTAGAAATTCTTTCAATGGCATTAGCAAGGTTGACGAGCTTAGTCTTGGTTCCTGTCTTTTGTTTGATCGCAGATGAAACACACAACTACTTGTGTGAAAATGTTTGATATATTTCTCCATTGCAGTGCTCATGCAGCCCCAAATCACAGTGCACAAGGTGTGATATATGGGGCAAATCAATACCTTATACTTGCTTGAAAAAAATGAACTGCATACACAACTTCTGAAGACAATAATCACATTAAGCAGTTAGGTACACTGTTTTGATTCAGGCGCATGTTCCGGTAATAAGATACAAAGAGATTCAAAGATGTGCACAGGATGGTGGAATAAAAATTTTGCATTTGTACATTCAGCCAGTCAGACCAAAACACAACTGGGCAAGTTCGCCTTCAACGGGCTCTTGAATATTTGTGCACCTTCGCACGCCGACAACAACCGAAATCGATCCTGCGATGGCGCTGCTAATTTGCAATTCTGAACCAATTTAAATGCCTTGTGGGTGATCAGTGGGAATGAGAAATCTATTAGAGCTATTGATACTTGGAGGCTCTAACAATTCAGACTGGATCTTTAAAGATCGAACACCTTGTCTAGACACACCCAGCCCATTACAGAGGCCAACACAACACCACATAAACATTGTGCAATAAAACATCCATATACATTTAGAACATCTGCATTGCATCAGGGAGCAGAACAATGGGGTCGAAGGGGAATAAACAAATCATTAAATAGAGTATAAACGAATTTTCATAACCGTAGACAGTCGTTCTAAAAAAAAGAAAAAAAAGAAAAGATATTCACATCTTAAAATAGACCTCTTTCTCTCAGCATTGCATCTAACCCGAGACATTCTTCAATCTCAGTTTCACCATACACAGTATTATATACTCATCCTTGTCTTTCATCTTCAAGGTCAACCGCCGTGCTTTTCTTCTATAGTAAAAGTTAAAACATATGACACCATTCACTATTTACACTGTGGCTACCATGGAAACACCCGTAAAGCCGGTTTGATCCACTGGAGGAGGTGGGGTGGGTCAAGTAGGGGAAAGGGCAAGGGGGTCTGTTTGTTTTGGGTCAAGTACGGGAAAGGAAAAGAAGATGAGGACAGGACAGAGAAGGTAAAAAATAGGCGCCTGCGAGGACACAACAACGAAGTAGGGATCTGTACAATAATCAGGTTCATCTGTGCGTGAGGTCTCCTGAAAAACGCATTAACCTGTTCAGATGCTGATGAGACACGTTAAGAGTGTGAACAGTTTTATACCCATTTTAAACACTTTTTAATGTTTTTAGTCCACACAGGATCACCAGTGAACTGCAACAACAGCTATGATTTGGTCATTTGTCAGTCTGTACATACAGTATACAAGCATAAGGAGACTACCGTACGCATCAGTTTTAATAACTATACTTGTTAGTTTAGATATAGCTTTCACACATTGTATCACTTTGGCACAGAGTTTCATGTTCAGAACATGAACTAAATACCTATCGGCTAAAGCTTTTTTTTTCTTTTCTTTTTTTAAAATCTCAGCTTTACCTTTATACATAAAGCCAAAGTATGCTCATTAGTTGGATCCCCGTCTCCTAGTAAAGGTAAGTGCAGTAGTTTAGGATTGGCCAGAGGGCTTTCTCACAGGCTGGTGGTAACAAGGGGGAAGAGAAGTGCACCTTGGGATAATACTGAGGTTACCCTGACCCCGGGCCCCTTGCTGCCAGGGCTGCAGTAGCACTTAGAGCCCACACATGAGACGCTAAATGAGAGCTGTGTACCTGAAAAAGGTCCCATGTCTAAGCCAGTAAAGTGTTGTTCAAAACTGAAGGTCTCCAGAGGCGTTGGTTGACTTGTAAACTTTCTGAGACTTTCTGAGGTGTGCACATATGAGAAAGCATCACACGGGAACATCACAGCACGTCAAGTATAATCAGCACCGGGTTTTAGAGTGGAGCTCATTTTAATGCAGCAGCTCATCTTATGAGGCCATACGATCCAAATCAGATGGCCATTCGGCATCTAAACCCCAGGTCAACTACTTTGCTTGTAAGCCTCCTATTGATCAGCGTCAGTCATTTCATCTTAGAAGAGCTGAAAATAAATAGACAAGTCAGTGTTTTTCTCTTTTTGATCATATATGTCATCACAGACTATCCCGCATCTATTCTTTTTCTGCTTTGCAGTCATTTTTCATGGATATCAGTTAGTATCAGTTAGCTGTCACATGGTGCTGAGTTTCTATCACATAAGTAAGGGAATCCCCCACAGTTGAGTGCAAAGGGAAAAAGCAGGACCTTCACCCCACGGACTAGGCTCATTCTTGGAGCTTCAGCTTAGTCAATGGGGACAGAGGTTAACAGATCAAAAACAAACAAAAAAAAGGGAAACGAATAAAATTGAAAAGCTCGTGGAAGTGTGGCTGAAGAAAGAGGGAGGAACTTCATAGCCAACGTATGTGACTTTATCAGAAAACCTCCATCATGGAGGGGCCTTCCTGTTGGTCCAGAGCAGTGTGGGGGGCAGGGGTGGGGACTTAGGTGGGCGTGGGGGGCAGGGGTGGGGACTTAGGTGGGCGGCGCTTCCAGTCACTCCGCCCCTCACACTGCAATCGCCGCCATCGCAGAAGCTCTCCAAGGGCGGCGCTCTCATCCCCGTTGGACAGACGTAGCCGCTGGAACACCTGGGGCACAGAAGGAAGAATACAAGGAAGTCCAATTGACAAGCCATGATCGGAGCGGAGGGGTGGGATGATAAACAGTGACTGCACAAGCATCATAAAAATAATAACATTAACAGGGCAAAAAAAACAACAACAACAGCCTGGTCATCCAAACCTGATTAGAAACTGGGAGGTAGGGGTGTTATGCTGGCAGCTGGTGGCCTAAGAAAAAAGAGCTCAAAGGTGAACGCTTTTAAGAAAAAGATCCAAATATCCCACTGTTGTTTTGTTCATTTTAATAAATACTATGAAAACACTCTCTCTCTCTCTCTGTGATTTCAACTTTCCTTACCCCCACTGCTGCACCCTAAACCTACTGCTTGCTACTGACGATGTAAAGCTTCAAAAACACCTTTAAGTGCTCCCACGGGCCCTATGAAACAACTATTAACAAAGTTGTTTCTCTTCACACCTATCAGTTTTTCCACTCTGCTGAAGTACGAGCAGTGAGCTAAATCAGCTCAGTAGTACCTATAATGTAACATTTTCCAAGTCAACTGCCAAACATGTCATGTGTTTAGTGAGGGAGTCATAGGCTATGCCACACACACACACAGACCGGGGAAAAAACATTGCACCGATTGGATACTCTGACAAACATACCTGCACATACCTACTATACATGCACACCCAAACGCTCAAACATACATTGAGATAGATTGCCTGCACTAGCACAATACTCAACAAGCTAATCCATAATTTACACCTCCCTGCCAGGCTATTCTTTGCACTGGCGCCAGCGAGGAACACTGGCTACTGGAACAGAAAATAAGTAGGAACACTGTGTCCCTCTGCAATGCATGACTGTACTGTTCATGGACACACACACACAGTAAACATCAGATACAGTTTTTTTCAAATTAATAACTGTGAAACATTTACGGTTTCTGGCCTTGATGTCTGAAATGTAAAACAGTTTAATGCTTGTCTTCAAAATGTCATCATGACATCGAGGCGAGATGACAAAGTTAAGTTTAGAAAATAAAATCGCTTTTTGACATTTCAAAGCTGTCTGATGGCGACTTTACTCCAGATAACAGCACTCTGAAATCTAAACCACACCCTTCTGTGTTGGGGGAAGTGGTGGGGGGATGGGTTTAGATCCATACCAACATGTGAATGGATTGTTATGGTAATAGCATGGTAATGTGGGATAGTAGTCATTCCAAACTGTCACTCACAGGAAGGATATCCCGAGGCCACAAAATATTCCAATAAGCTCAGAGCTTTTCCACATAAAACGCACACATTCCCAGGTGTAAACAGCTACTGCATGCACGCTACTGTGTATACACCCTCAGATACAGAAAACTAAAACACCGCGTTCTCTGATTGTTTGTACCCACAGCACTAGATATGACTTAGAAAGGATTTCACAGAATATAAATTGCATTTTTTATTATCTGACAAACAATAACACATGAAATTCCAAAAGAGTTTCTTTTATGTGTTAGTCAAAGCAGATAGAAAAAAAGAGAAAGGTCACTAAACGGCTAATATTTCTATAACTGGGTGGCCAAGGACAGGTCGATCATAGAGAATAAAACAAGTAGAATAAAAGAAACTGCAGACAGGATGATATGTTGCTATCTCGGGATGACTTATGTGTGATGTTTTCCTTTGATATTCCCCTGAATAGTTCCTGTGGAGTCATGTAAGGATCTCTGTCTAGTCCGATACATTTTAAAAATAGGTGTCACATGTCACATGTTCCCGAGTAGCACATGTGACCACTCCTATTTCAAATGCCCTGCCAAGTCATTGTCTGAAGGGATAAACAAAAATATCATACTTTGTACCATTCAATCATTTAGCAGTCTGTCAAGTCTTTATATAATTAGTCTAGACTGCTGCTCGCTATTCACGGCGAAGACCCAAACAAACCAGTCCATTCATTCTTAAATGAGCTGCCCATTCATCTTCCTTCATCCTTTCCTTTTTATTTATCCCAGTAGTTCTGAGAAACCTACATAAAAACGGTCTAGCACAGAGTTATTCCCACCTCACGATCGTGTATAAACTCACAGTGATGAAGGTGATCAAGAAAGCGAAACACCGGTGAACAGCGATGATGCAGTGATGCCAGAGAGAGTCTGAGGAAGGGTTAAAAGGGAATCGAGTGATGGATTCAGCAACGTAAAAATCCCAGCAGATGAAGAGCAATAAAAACTGCAGCTCGAGCTTGAGACTCTCAGGAAAAACACTGTATAGTGACTTTTTGTGCTGAGGAGGACAGCAACAAAAAGGAACAAGTGCAATTGCCTAAGGATTTCTCCACATGTGTGGGTATTCAGATCTATTTAACCTGTGAGCTGCAGTTTCCTTCCAGAAATGAGGGATAAAAAAAGAAGAGCGTAAATGTCATCGACTCAGGATTCCTCTGACTCCTGAGAGCCGAGATGATGTCCTGCAACAGCAGTGGTTTTCAAAAATGCTTCTCCAGTGACCCATATTTTCAGAAGATTTGATTTTTTATGACAACTGCCAGAAATTCTGATTAGAATTTTTACATCTTATTTTCAGCCATGAGTTCAGACTTCACATCCTGTGTAATATTAAACTAGAATTAATTTCAGGTAACCGCAGCCACCGATTTCCATAAAAGCTAAAACAATAAATTCCCTTCTTACTCCATAAACACATTTTTGCCATTTTAATTTTGACTCAGACAAACCTTCTGGAAGTTTTATGAATCATTACTGATTTGACTGCACACTGGATTGATGAAAAACACTGCGATTAAGGGCAGAGAGGGGCACGGCATGACGTACACTCACCACATCCCTACATGTGCACGAGGGCTCACAGCGAGCCCACCCCCTGTGCCCCCCTCGCTGTTTTAGAGGGCAGCCCCCGCACCGAATGGAGAAAAGTTGAGATGACCCCTCTGGAAAATATAGGAGGCAGTGAGAATAACAGCCAAGCTCATTAGATTCATAGAAAGAGAAAGAAAACAGGCATTTATGTACAAGACAACAGCCTAGTCCAAAGTAGATGGTTACATGTGCTTCACACTTTAAAATGCTGTAAGAAAGGAGCACTAAGCAATCACAAACAGGCTTCAGATACTCAATGCACAAGGTGAACTCATCCAATTCTGAATGGAGCGATAAAATATTTAATCAACCTGAGGATTGTCAAGTGGGTACACAGCGTGCCTTTACATCTCTAGTGAAGTTTACCTACGAATAGCGTGCGCTGAACTCTTCTGAGAGTGGAACAGAACGTCCTTTGCTTCTTTGTGCATTAAACACAGAACAACTCAAAAGAAAGAAGCCAAAAAGAAGCCAGTGTTAAGTTTTTGTGTGATATTGGATTTAAACCCTACTCTCTCAAGTGCAAAGTTTCTTTCTTCCTGTGCGGCTCTTCCTGCAAAAAGCAAAAGAAAAGCATCTGGAATTCTTTAAGTTCTTGAAGACATTTCATCTCTCATCCAAGAAGCTTCTTCAGTTCTAAGAGAGATAAACGCAACATAGAAGAGCCACCTTGACAGCACAAGACTCAGATGTACACCTGCATCTAAAGGACAAAGGTCACTCTTTCAAGGATGCCAGTGTTCACATTTTGGACAAAGACAGATGGTTTGAAAGAGGAATGAAAGCCATCTATGTCCACTGTGAATGATCATATTTGAACAGAGGCGGTGGCTTACGACACCAACTGTCTGCCATCTACAATCCAGTTTTGAGATCCCAACCCAGGAGCATTAACGCCCACTCACACCTTGGGTCAGTTGATCACAATAAGTCACATAATGTTCTGAGGCCATGTCCACACTAATACGTTTTTATTTGAAAAAGCATCTTTTTCTCTCCGCTTTGGCTTTCCGCTCACACTGAAACGGCGTTTTTGGTCAAGGAAAATTGAGCTTTTTGAAAACGCTCTCCAAAGCGGATACATTTGAAAACGGCGTTTTTGCGGCGCAGTGGAGACTGCATAAACTGAGACTTTTTAAAACGATGACGCATTTTAGTCATATGATGCAGTCATGTGACCAGTTAAACTGAGATGGCGGAGCGCATTATGCAGCAATTGTTTTGTTTGCTCTCAATTTTGACAGCCCTTTTAAAGATCAATATCAGTCTGTACATGGTCCAGATAGCTTTTCTTCAAATTCTTTAATTCTCACTCGCTTTTGCAACTTTGTACTTTTGTGTTACTCGCAGCAACAACTCCACCTCATTGTTAGTCCATTAAAAAAACTCGGTGCTTTTCCTCAACATTTTGCTGCAAAATTTCAAAGAGCCGGAAATGAGCAGGTCGAATCGTCTTACATTTCATGCATGCGCAATACAGGAATGTAAGCATTTTCAGTCATTCCAGTGTGGATTTTCAAATTTAGAAGAATTAGTCGACTTAGCATCATAATGGGTTCATCCAAAACCTTGGCTGATTGTGACGCACACTCGTTTTCACATCTTGGCTCGTGTGATTAGTGACCCTCGTAGGGACACTCCCTATAGGGCTTAAATCTGGGTCCCACCAATTGCTCTTAGAACTGAAGAAGCTTCTCAGATGGCACTTTTCTTTCCAAGCTTCTTAGGCTACGTTCACACTGCAGGTCTTAATGCTCAATTCCAATTTTTTGATCAAATCAGATTTTTTGTCTGCTTCTTCACACTACAAATAAAACGTGCTCTAGTGTGAACCCTCAAGGCGGCCAACATGCGCAAAAAGAAGACGTCACACACAACGCGCTCTGTTTAGACCCAGACCAAACAGTCTTGTTTGACTGATGGCCGTTAATATAAAGACTTGTTTCGGATTTTACGTTTCCCAATTTTGCTTTAAGTTATTTTGTTATTTACATATGGCCTAATAATGATCCTTATTGCTGTTTCAGAGAGGAGCGGTGCTTCAAAGGATAGTTGCAGATTTCTGTCAGAATCTGCAGATTATACAGTACAAATAAAATAGTCACGTTTCTCCAACGCTGTCTTCCCAACAGTTTCACTGGATGGCCAGGAATCGTTCACGATGTCTTCTCGGGTGCTGATAATTGGCGTCTGTCTTGTGTCAGTGACGTAAAAGACGGATTTAATGCGACCTGACCGTTCAAACAACTGTCGCTTTCTGAAACATCAGATATGCATCGGATTCAGTACCACATACGAAAGTGACCCAGATCGGATTTGAAAATATCGGATTTGTGCCGTTCACACTGTCACACCATGATCGGATATGGGTCGCATAGGGTCAAAAAAGTCGGATTTGATGCGCTTTCGCCTGCAGTGTGAATGTAGCTTTAGACTACGATGACCTGGATGACTGAGAACCTTCACAGACATAACGAAACGGACTGATTTGATTTGTTGCCCTTTTTTTCTCTCATCTGCTATGTCACTTTTTTTCTGGAAGTTTAAATTGGTTTTATTTGTTATTTTGATAAGTTGCTTTATTTATTCAGTTGAGTTCTTTCCTGCTAACTTTGGTACAGGCCCCAAACTATGATGTGGGGTTTTTTTTTAAACATGTAAAATAAAACCAATTTTTCATCTGTGCTCCACCTGTGTGCATCATCTTAAAAGTTAAAATTAGACTTTCTATGACACACATTCATCAGTCAGTGGTAAGGCTCAGTTTTCAAAAGGTTTGTCTACAACCATACGGTAGTTAATGAGCTCAACATAATGAGATTCAGAGTATGTGCATTCATGTAAGCATATGAGTGCAAAAAACTAAACAAATATAAACCAAAAATATTTTATCCTGTAATTATACACCTGTCCTTGGAAGCACAAAAAGCTCACATCACAAGTGATGCATGCCACTGAAAGAGGCCACTTCCCTGTCCACTTAAAATGTCAACAAACCCAAACAGAAACCTTATACAGGGAGTGCAGAATTATTAGGCAAGTTGTATTTTTGAGGAATAATTTTATTATTGAACAACAACCATGTTCTCAATGAACCCAAAAAACTCATTAATATCAAAGCTGAATGTTTTTGGAAGTAGTTTTTAGTTTGTTTTTAGTTTTAGCTATTTTAGGGGGATATCTGTGTGTGCAGGTGACTATTACTGTGCATAATTATTAGGCAACTTAACAAAAAACAAATATATACCCATTTCAATTATTTATTTTTACCAGTGAAACCAATATAACATCTCCACATTCACAAATATACATTTCTGACATTCAAAACAAAACAAAACCAATCAGCGACCAGTATAGCCACCTTTCTTTGCAAGGACACTCAAAAGCCTGCCATCCATGGATTCTGTCAGTGTTTTGATCTGTTCACCATCAACATTGCGTGCAGCAGCAACCACAGCCTCCCAGACACTGTTCAGAGAGGTGTACTGTTTTCCCTCCTTGTAAATCTCACATTTGATGATGGACCACAGGTTCTCAATGGGGTTCAGATCAGGTGAACAAGGAGGCCATGTCATTAGTTTTTCTTCTTTTATACCCTTTCTTGCCAGCCACGCTGTGGAGTACTTGGACGCGTGTGATGGAGCATTGTCCTGCATGAAAATCATGTTTTTCTTGAAGGATGCAGACTTCTTCCTGTACCACTGCTTGAAGAAGGTGTCTTCCAGAAACTGGCAGTAGGACTGGGAGTTGAGCTTGACTCCATCCTCAACCCGAAAAGGCCCCACAAGCTCATCTTTGATGATACCAGCCCAAACCAGTACTCCACCTCCACCTTGCTGGCGTCTGAGTCGGACTGGAGCTCTCTGCCCTTTACCAATCCAGCCACGGGCCCATCCATCTGGCCCATCAAGACTCACTCTCATTTCATCAGTCCATAAAACCTTAGAAAAACCAGTCTTGAGATATTTCTTGGCCCAGTCTTGACGTTTCAGCTTGTGTGTCTTGTTCAGTGGTGGTCGTCTTTCAGCCTTTCTTACCTTGGCCATGTCTCTGAGTATTGCACACCTTGTGCTTTTGGGCACTCCAGTGATGTTGCAGCTCTGAAATATGGCCAAACTGGTGGCAAGTGGCATCTTGGCAGCTGCACGCTTGACTTTTCTCAGTTCATGGGCAGTTATTTTGCGCCTTGGTTTTTCCACACGCTTCTTGCGACCCTATTGACTATTTTGAATGAAACGCTTGATTGTTCGATGATCACGCTTCAGAAGCTTTGCAATTTTGAGACTGCTGCATCCCTCTGCAAGATATCTCACTATTTTTGACTTTTCTGAGCCTGTCAAGTCCTTCTTTTGACCCATTTTGCCAAAGGAAAGGATGTTGCCTAATAATTATGCACACCTGATATAGGGTGTTGATGTCATTAGACCACACCCCTTCTCATTACAGAGATGCACATCACCTAATATGCTTAATTGGTAGTAGGCTTTCGAGCCTATACAGCTTGGAGTAAGACAACATGCATGAAGAGGATGATGTGGACAAAATACTCATTTGCCTAATAATTCTGCACTCCCTGTATAGTCGTGCTCTAACTGTGTGTGTGTTTAACTGTATACATATATGCATCCCATGACAAGTTTTAAACACACCAAGGTCAGATGCACTTCTGTGTGTTACGTAAAGTGTTGGGGAGTAAGGTTGCAAAGAAAAAACTGCACCTGTTGCCATCTGTACATAGCTTCTGATGAAGGCACCAAAAGTGTGTCTGTGTGTTTAAGTGCCTGTCTTTGTGGTTACCTGAGTATGATGACTATCCATGTGTCTGTGCAAAGAGGGGGTGCTGGAGGAGTTTGACTTGCTGTGACTCTCATCCTCCAGCGACCCTGAACACAAAAAAAGAAGCGTTTCACAAACCACGGATATCTGTCTTCTCAAGTCTTTCCACACACAGGCAGGTAGAGTCTGAAGGACACACCGTTTTTCAAACACAAGCAATCTTAGAGAGGGCTAAGAAACTGTTTTCATGCAAAGAAAAATGTTAAGGCAATAGTATGGTTTGGTTGCAAAACTCTCTGGGTATTTAAGAATAAAGTAACCACTCTCTGGTTCCAGTAAATCCTTCTCAGTTTCTCAGGTCACCTGATTATACCATTTAATTTCCCTCTCGTTATTTGTAACTCTAACTCCACTTACCAATCTTCCCAGCCTGCAACTACTTTTATTTCAGTCCACTCCACAATGAATTGAAGTGATTGTGCGGATCTGGCATTACGATGGCTAAAAGGAGAGTTTGCAGCTAAGACTGGCCTGGTGTATGACTTTGTCACTCCACAGGTAGAGCCGGTGGAACTGTATTTCTTATTTACAACCACATGGCATTTTAACTACTTTTTACTAACTGTAAACTATAAGTAGACTGACACTCATTAATCTCTAGATGCATAGTTACGTACCAACATGACAGTGGTGAAGCTGGCAGGGTCTTAATATATGATAACAGAGGTTGTAAAAACAAAACAAAAAAACTCAGTGTGTCTTTGCTTATCACCTGAAATGTCATGAAGGTGCCATGTCAGTTTTCCTTAATGTCACACTTGAAATTTGTCAAAAACACATTGTAACCTTGACATTCATAAAATATGGAGAACTTATTTGATTCAATCCAGGCACTGTATGTGCACAGCTTTGGATTTCAATTTTTGCCATGCTTAAAAACCACTAGCAAGTCCGCGCCAAGCTTTACCAAAGTAACCTTGAAGAATATAGCGGGTCATTGCTATTTAAAAATATCTTCCTAAGATTGTGAGTGTGAATGTGCAACATTGGGCTGTTACCGTTTGAGATCTGGTTCCCGTTCTCTACAGGGGCAGAGCTTTGTGAGTGGGGAGAGTGGTTGTTGGCGTTCTTGTCTTGTAGCTGGAGAGATGGTGAGGTGGGGGCAGAGCCACAGTCTTCCCTCCCTGGCAGATTGATATTAGAATTGAATCCTGGTGGGAATATAACAAGAGGAAATGCAACTGCATATCGGTGCATGTTACAAACGGTAATATCCATCATGCATAATATCATCAGAATACCCTCTCTTTATATATTTCATAATATCTGTCTGCCTTTCTCCCTTCTGCTGCTCCTTGGGGCTCAAATGCTACACACTGCATGAGTAAGTAACTGTGGGTGCATATGTGTGTGGCAGTGTGAATGAGAATTCATCAGCTGCTGTCCCACACAGAGAATGTTTGCCTCCCGGTCCATCCATGGTCACAAGATGCCTAAATATAAAGTTACCAAACTGTACTATCCCATGGGATAGGTGAGTTTTTACAAGGGACACAAGGCCATGCAGTGAGACAGAGCCCATGCGCGTGTTCATGCTTATGAAAGATGAGTCATTCAGGCACAAAGACCATAATAAAAGCTAAATGAAATTGGAAATTTTGGATGGTGCTGCTGAGGTATGATGTGTCTCATGACTCTGATTTCCTAAAGCCTGCCAAGACCCCCTGCCCTCTTTCCCTTGCATTCCTGTGGTTTTCTCATTCCCTGAAGATGAGGAAAGGCGGGTGGAGAAAAGAGCGTCAGCTGCTCTGCACTTCATGTCCGGGGTAGCAACTGCAACCCCTGGGCAGTCCCACAGCGTCAGGTATCACATTCAGTTATTTAACAGCCGATAGGGAACGGAAGTAGAGCGTTCTGTTAAGCCCACTGGCATCTCTCTACGCATGGATCTAAGAGGGCCGCCTTGCTTTGCCCACTCAAAATACACCAGTGCTTGGTTCCCTGTCACACACACCGTTTCCATGACGCCAGCACTTTTCCCGTACAGTTGCAGGTGCTGACGAGGGGTCAGACGCAAGATGTCATGTGATTCAAATGCGTAAGCATGTTCACTTGCCCTCATACCGTCTCTTATAAGGAGTTCAACTTTTTGCCCACTGAACTTATTGTATTTATAGAACTATGAGACAACAGCTTTGATCACAGCTCGCTTCACAATCAGCCTCTAGCATGGTGTCTAGCTGATGCTTTCACCTGAATTCTCGAATATGCAAATAATAGTCCAGGACGTGCTGTTCAATGCTGCGAGGCAGTCTCGCTCCCTTCAGTAGAACCTGAGCGAGCTGTTAAATATTTCATAGCTATCCTCTTGGTTCTCCTGCTCATGTATTATTAACCCAGCCACAACTAATACACTTTGAGGAAACAGAGCCTCAGACAGTAGGGTGCGACAGTTTCTCAAGGTGGAATATCAGTGATAAGTTTACTTTTCACGCTCTCTCTGTCTGGGTTTGAAACCTTTGACCTAAGGGACCGGAGTTCATTTCATTCACTATGTGTGACAAATACTGTTTGTTCTTCTTTTGTAAAGGTCAGCTTTTTCATCACTACACACAGTTTCTATGTACTTTACATACGTGCAGAGCTATAGCACACAATAACAAAGCTAAAACATAATTACAGTGCAGTGTGATGCTAAGTGATTTACACAAGCTGGCTCATTACCTAACATATTAGAAGGCAGCTGCAGCAGCCAAAGGGCACTACACAGGAGGCTGTAACAAATGGGTTGCCTCAAGTAGGCCAAAGGGGGTTGCTGGTTACAACATCTGATCTAATGTAAGGGGTTTCCAAATGTAGGTCTGGATAACAGCGCATCTTACCTCTCTACTACTCGAAAACAAAACAAAATCTGTGACAGATTTATTGACAAAAGATATTGTTATTACCTATTTAAGCACGTAAAACTACTCCTGCTGTACAGAAGGTAATCAGATGGCATGCAATAAATCATCTGACCTAGGTCAGGATGGGATTTTGATCATAACCTCACAACTGTGGGCAGACAACAGCAAGAAACACACGTGCATTCAATGAATGAATGGGAAACTCTTTACAAAATGCAAAAAGGTTCGTATATTGGTGGTTTGGGAAGCAAATTAATACATATGCAATAATTAAAGGAAAAAGGGGGAAGTGCATGTACTTCATAATGTGTATGTACACGAGGAGTGTGTGTCTACTGACAGACCTCCATCTCTCATCTTGCGGCCAGACTTCCTCAGTAGGCTACGTCCAGAGCTGAACAGGGTGCTGAGTTCATCCAGGGGGCTGGTCAGGGGCCTGCCGTTGGCTGGGTTGAATAGCAGTGGAGACGAGGAGCACGAGTGAGCTCTTCGAGGCTCAGGACGAGACACCTTCACAGGGGAATAGGGAGGAGGCTTCCCCAGCGGCTCCCCGCCTGTTCTTTGTGAGGACGTTTTGGAGGAATCTGAGCTCCCGGTGACAGATGCTGCTCGTGTCAGAGCCAGGAAGTTGGCCTCAGGTGGGAAGGGGAAGTGTGAAGGAGGTCTATAGGGTGGAGGTGGGGCACTAGGAGGAGGAGGTGGAGGAGTGAGTGGAGGTGTGGACTTCTTCTCTGGCATTAGAACAGTGAGGCTTGGGGAGGAATCAGCCCTCTGGCGGGCGTACTGTGGGGACAGGGGGCTGTCTGGCCCAGTGGCATAATTGAGGTTTGTCTCAAACACCGGCAGCTTTTTTACTTCTAGGGGGGTTAGGGGTGACTCATCAGAAGCAGGAGAACAGGTGACAGGGGAGGGCGGAAATACAAGGAGTGGAGGGCGGTGGGGAAGCAAGTTGGGAAAAGGTGCAGGAATGTCACAGCTGCCATCTTTTCCATGCTGGCTTTTGGGAGCTCCACTGTTTGATGTGCTATGTGAGTGAGCAATGTCCAAAGCAGCAGTCACCCCCAATGCCAGTCGTTTAGTCTCTGCACTCTGAGGAGGGGATGTCCCCAATCCTAATAAGTTGAGTCCTAGAGCCTCCAATTTGGCTGGTTTGGTGACAGAGGCAGCAGCTCCACCATCTTCAGAAGGGTAATACTTCATCTCCTCGTAGACAGCTTCCGAGTCGGCTTGCTCTGGGCTATCAGGCGGCTCCTGGAGGCTTCGTGCCCGCTGCTGGGATCCCAACATCTCTATGTAAATGTCTTCTTCATCTTGGCCCTTGAACAGACTTAGTGCAACCCCTTGTGGAGCATCTATGGAGGCTGCTCTCTGCATCAAGCCTCCAAATCCCCCGCCACGTGAAAGCAGGGCCAACTTTACATCAGCTGGGCGTAGCTGATGGAGCTGGGGTGCTACAGCATTAATCTCCTCATATGAGCCAGTCAGCTTAGTGTTGGGGCTGCGCTTGGGTTTCGGGGGTGGTACCTTTCTCATAGTTGTGTAGTCATCACTATGGGGACGGGGTTTGGACAAGGCTAAGGAAGAAACAAAACAAAGAAAGCTAAATCAATATGTAACAGCAATGAGGCACCGCCATCTGTTATATCTTTGACAGTCCAGTAGAAATTATTTACCTGCTGGGTCTGTGGGGGATAGCTGGGATTTAGGAGGGCTTCCAGCTGGTGAAGCGTAGCCCTCTGGAGTGGAGCACTCTTTGGCGGCCATCGTCAGGCCTGCACTAACTGCTTCATAAGATGCACTCAGACGAGTATTGGGGTCCCTCTTTGGTTTAGGAGGAGGTTGCTTACGAGGAGAGGAAAGACCTCCCCCGCCTGCTCCGTCCTCATTGATATGGACAACTTGCTGCAAGGCTGGTTTGATGGGTGGATTGGCAGACGAATGGACCATGTTCTCAATGGCGAGCGGGGTGGGTACCGAGCTGGAGCGAAAGTGGCGAATGACTCGACTTCCGCCGTTGGCAGGGCCTTCATGCACTTTCGTGCTTTTCTCTGCCACTCTACAAATGGAAATAAGGAACAATGAATTTATGTTTAAAAGGCGACGAGTGAGTTTACTTTATAATTAATCAAACTCAATATACGCTTGCCTCAAATGTCACTTCAGAGGTTTAAGATAAATTGGGCAAAAGGAGGAAACAACCAAAGAGATTAAACCTAATGTCCTTGCTGTAATTTGATATCATCCAGTTTGATATTTCCTTGGCTAATCTGGGTGAGCCATCTGTTAGTTTCCTGATTGCAGGCAGGCATGCGGTCGGGGGTGAGAGGTGGGGGGTGAGCATTTGTGGAGGTACTCAGGAGAGGCATTTTGAAAATCTGCAGTGAGATTACAGTAGGGGAATCTGGGGGAATGTGTAGATGTAAGTACATTTTTATCTCCTCTACAGGACAAAGGTGAAACCTGTTATCAGCTGTTACATGCTCAAGGACACAGAGTTTATAGAAAACATGTGTCTTATATTATTTGTGATCTCTGGTCTCCTTTCACGTTTAAAAAGCACATTGAAATGTGCTTTTTTTAGGCATGTGTGACAACAACTCAAACCTAAATAAATGTAGAACAATTTGCTATTTTGTCAAAATGTTTTGTCCTGTCAGGATTTTAGCCACCAGTATTTATCAAAATGAAATAAAAGTATTTTTCCTCCAACAACAGCAGTAATCAATAGAAATGATATAGCACTGCTTTCTCTGCAGGCAAAAAAGAACTTATAGAAATAATGCACATATTTATGAAGCATACTGCAGAAAGCATAAGAATATAGTACCTGTACGTACTTCCGACTTTAATAGTGCTGAAATACCAATCACACTTGAGTTATTATGAAGGCCCTTCATTTAGCGCCACCTCTAAAAAGCTTTTTATTGCTTTTTTACACTTTTTCCAAGAGAGTTATTTAATTTCCTCCAAGTGTAATATACTGGTATATTAGAATGAGGTGAGGTGGAGATAAGGATTGTATTCCATAGGAGCAACACAATACGAAAACAATCTGATAGCGCGAGTCATTATCTGACTATCCATCATGAACCTCACAATTAAAAGTCTGCAGCACACAGGTATACAGTGACATCATTAATCAGAAAGCACATGCTGTGCTGGCATGGCCACACACAAGCACGCAGATGAATAAACACACACAATTATGAAGGCAAATGATTCCTTCACACAGTCATAAATCCTGTAAATGACTACGATTGTTTTTCTCCGGGCTAAATGACGCTACAGTTACTACGAGGTCAGTGCCTCATAATATGAATCACATTATAGTGAGTAATGAAAGCTCTGTCTTAGTGAGAATATGGTCTTGATTGATCGCAGTGACTATAAAATGTCAGAAAATGGCTAAAGGTTACGAAGATGTGCACTGAGAAAATGAAAAAAGAAATATCCATATTTTAAATTAGTTCTAACCAGGAGAATAGCGGAACTCTATCCTTGATCAAGCAAAATATTTGCTTTCTGATCTAAATAGAAGGGCGTACGCTGTATTAGTGTCTGCTCATTTACCTCCTGATTGGCTGATCTTCCTCCTTCCCCACCGGCTCTGGTCTTTCGCCAAGGGGTGGACTACTGCCAAGGGTGTTGAGCAGGCTATTGCCATGGCAGCGCAGGCGGTCGTTTTCTCTTGCAATGTCGGAGGCATTTTGGATAACCAGCTGGTCGTAGGTTCGCAGTCCCATGTCTTCTGCCCCCTGCAGGAAGTGCTGCACACCGCACTCCTCTTTGTGTTGTAACGATAACCTGCGATTGACCCGCTGCCTGGCTAGCCAGCCGCGAACAACTGAGACATTGGGTGGAGATGAAGACAGTCATCACAGGTGTCATGGCTCGAAAAGAAGATGGTGGTAGACGATATTGTTGTATTGAGTATTACCTTTCTGACAGGTGATGATCTTTTTATGTAGCTGGTGGCAGCGGTCGTTGAGCTGGTCTGCCTGCCAGTATCTCAGAAACACTTTACTGCTGCCCATCTACACAGACAACGAAACAAGAAATCTAATAAAACATACACATATATATCTATTTTTTTTTTTCATCAGCTAAAAGGAGCACTTAGAGGACCCTGTGAAGCTGTTTTCTTTTGGAAATCTCAGAAGAGTGTGACCTGCTAGTTGAGCGATGGGAGACCGGTGATGTAGCAGTAATTTATGATAATCAGTGGGTGTGGAGTGTGGATAGGGTGTGGGTTTGCATGCTGATAATGCATTCACTTCCTGGACATAGAGAGCTTTTGAGAGGTGACAGAGGTCACGCTATACCAGGTGCAAGGAATTGTGAGGGTGACATACTTGCACAGATAGCCCCTATTCATTCCAGCACAAGCTACTTGTAGGAGTAATGTGTGTGTGTTTGTGTGTGAGTGACTGAGTGAGTGAGTAAGGCAGGGTTTTATCAAAAGTATCTGCGGGCTATTGTGGAGGAGTGTGTATGCATGTGTGACCTGTGGGGTCACACGCTCAGACACAACAGCAGTCTAGCAGACAGGAGAGAGGGGGGTTGGAGGGGTCCGTGCTGCTGTGTGCGTGCGTGTGTGTGTGTGTGTCGAATTCTGATGAGGTGGGACAGCTGGAACAAGTTGTCAGGATTCCATGGGATCTTTGAAACAGAGGGTCAGGGATTAAGTCATTTGGCAAATTTTTCATTATTGATGGAGACAGAAAAGGACACTGGACACAAACACACCTGCCATCCCTGGAGTTTTGATTGTTGCAGAACTGAGCGACATTTTTCCTCCGGAGACAGTTTCTTCTTGTCTCCCAGTGTTGGGACAACAAGGTCTTTATATCTGTAACACGACAAAGAAAAACACAAAACATCAGAGCTCCAGGGATAAACACGCTGAACCTAAAAACCCAGACAAGACATGGAGGCAGCCTATTTTGGAAACAATGGGTTCAAGGGTCATTAGGGTCATTCAGAAGACAAGCCAAACAGCATCTGTTCCTATTGGCAGTGTCCATGGCAACCGTTGTTATGAATGGTCAGCTGGATGGAGTCAGTGGTTTGTTTATGCACTGGGTGGTGTGGAGAGAAGCAGAAAGTAAGAAAAGTGAATATAACTGTTAATGTGTAATAAGAGTAGACGTTTTTATATATTCTGAATTCTGAATACACACAGAAGAAAGAATGATTATGAATTATGGAGGAAATAAACTGACCACATAGAAAAATGTGACTGAACTGAAAACACAACATCCCTAAAGACAACCGTATGCTTTGTTGGTGTGAATATAAGTGTACAACAAATGTACTCAATAAGGTATGAAGATTTTTCTTGCTGTGATTGGTTCAGCTTAAACCTATAGTAAAGCCTTCAGCTTAATGGGAATTCAGTTTGACTTTTCCTTATTCCCTGCAGAGAAACTTAGGCTTGCAGTCTGCACTCTCATTGAGGAAAGACTGTTTTGTACAATAGGAAGTGCTTCCAGCTCTTTAACTGAAAAAAAAATACAGAATTAAAAATTAAAGAAGCAATTTTTCCTGTGAATTAAGTATTTATCTATATATACACAGCTGATTGTTATACACTGGGGGACCGCACCGGTCCACACCCGATGCCATACCAATGTGAATGAGCTGTAAATATTCTAACTGCGCTGTTTATCTTCGACAGCTTACAGCATTACCATCTGTGACGGACAACTGGTTCACAAAGCTCATCCCAATATTTATAAAACTACGGGACAAGGTGCACGTGTCATTAACAGAATATATAACTGAAAGTATGTCATGTCATGAGGTGCATACAGTAAATACAATAGGCTTATTCTGTGCAGAAATTCTGACTTGACTAACATTACTGTGCAAAAGTCTTGAGTCATTTCTTTCCAAGGAGTCAGACTTTCCTCAAATTTTTTAACTGTTCTCGAGCAAGTACTCACGGTTGTTATCTATGTAACAGATTTTGCTCAAATACAGTATATTTAATTCAGGTGTTTTTTAAACTTTCTTACAAATTAACACCATTATGTGATTTTTCATTGTTGTATTGTTCAACAAAAACACAGTTTTTTCACGAGTATAAAATACACTATAAAATGCTTCCTATGTTTTAAAGTTCTTTAGATCTCCAGGCTTTTTAGGGGTCTTTCAAAGTTTTCCTTTGACATTGACTCATTTTTACCAGATTTTTAGTCTAGCAGTTGACCATTTTCAAAGGAATATTTTGTTTGTTTGTTTTTTAAGCCCATTAACACTGGCCTATGAATCATCCAAACATAAAAAGGAATCTAACTCGAGGGGTTAACTAATTTTGTGTCAACATATAAAAGACAGCTATCTTCAGGCACTTTGTTACTACAACCTGTTGTAAAAGCACATATTTGTTCCCTTTTCTTTAGTTCAATCTGTGAAAAATGCCCCCAAAAAACATACTTTGACAAACATGAAATAGTATTTTGGCACAAACAAGGTGATTCCAGAAAAGCTATTAGCCCGTATTGAGGAAATTGAACAAGTGGAGGAAAAAAATCCTAAAAAAAAAAAACTATCTGCAGCAGATGAACAGTATCGTAAAATCATGAAGAAATAGGATAAAATAAATCCAGCAAAGGCCCGATACAGGACCAGACAGCTGTACGTGAGCCTTCAGTTTATCCATCTACTGTTCACTGAAGCCTCATCAGAAATAGTCTCAGCTGAAGGGTCGCTGTTAAAAAGCCAGTTCTAAGGAAGGAAAGCAGGGAGAAAAGGCTAAGGTTTGCCAAATTACACAAGAACTGGACTCGAAATCAGTGTAAAACAGATCCTATGGAGTTATGGGTTCAAGTCATTATTAGAGATGGACCGATCCGATATTTAGTATCGGTATCGGTCCGATACTGACGTAAATTACTGGATCGGATATCGGAGAGAAATAAAAAATGTAATCCGATCCGTTAAATATCAAAAAAGCACCTCACAAAACTTGCGACATGGCGTAACTGTGTGTATTTGGAGCCTCGCTACCAAACCGGCATTTCATCTCCGAGGAAGTGATCCCAGAGAGAAGTAAAGCAAGTGTGTAAGTTCATCTCTGAATGTTTGTAAAGCATTCCCACGTTAAGCTTAACAACCGATATATGGAGCGACTGCCTCTTTTTGCTGCTACTTCAATCATGAAACTGATTAATGATCAGCTGATCGGCTTTTCTGTCGCTAGTCTGTCTCCCTTGTTTGTTTTTGGCCCACTTCGCGCCAGAAAGAGGAAACCAGTGGCTGAATAACAGCAGCACGTTTAAGCTTGATCAGCTGTTGTTAGAATTTATTTAATATTACTTTCTACACCAGGAGATTTTTCTACGTAGCTGACAGCTGGTAACTGTGCAGGGGCGGAGCTAGCAAAGTTATGCAGGGGGGCCGATAGGGCATGAACAGGGAAAAGGTGGCACAAAGACATACTTTTCTTTCTTATTCTCATTTAAAATGTTGAGCTTTTAATAAATAATTATCTGAATCTTACACCCAAAGTTTTAATCTTATGTAAAATAAATAGAAGTCCATTACTGTATATAGTAACTATTAAGTCTAATATACCCTAGTAAGCTATAGTACTTTTTCCTTTGGGAAGGTACCATCTGTGCAGTCTGCAGTTCTGTTGAAGAAAGATGTTGAATCTATTTAATTATTCTTGAAAAATAATTGATTTCTGTGCATTTTTTCCCCCACACTGCATCAAATTAAAGTTGATTACGTCGATTAAGCATCATGAGGTGGAGGGTGGGGGGTGGTTCCCTATTTTTTTTGCTGGGAGTTTGCAACCCTATTAGTTAGATTGCTTAATATTTCTGCTAAGTGCTCTTTAAAATACCAGAATAGGAAGGATTGAGTAGGTTTAAGTTTATTAGATTGATCAGTATTGCTGAACTATGAAATATTTTGGGTGCAGTGTATTTTTTTTTTTTTAACATACAGGTATAACAGAATAGCTTTAGTGTTGTTGTTTATTTAAACTTGAGTATGAACTTGCAATATATAAAAAAAACAGTTTTATTGATTAAAAAACACTATATCGGATTCATATCGGTATCGGCAGATATCCAAATTTATGATATCGGTATCGGACATAATAAAGTGGTATCGTGCCATCTCTAGTCATTATCAATATGTATGGAGGAGGTCAGGACAGAGGTACAATAGTGACTGTATCAACACTGCTTAAAGATATGGCTATAGGCTTTTGCACAGCACCCAAGCAGCAATAACACAGTCACTTATACAATATAAAGTATATATTGTAATATACCTTATAATATATATTTTAATATATTATATTAATATAATAATATATAACAGTGAGTCAGTAATCTAATAGTGTATGAAGTAAGGCATGACAGTCACAGAAACACAGTATAAGAATGCTAAAAAAAATCAATATTTGGCAGGAAAAAAGTGTCCATGTACACTACAATTATCATTACATCTTATAATTAAACTTTATATTTTACATAATACATCTAATAAATATTCCAATGTACATTTTGGAATCATGTTTTATGCAAAATACTTTAAATTTTTAGGGGCCAAAGAGCTAAAGATTAATATGCTGAATTTGTCACTGGTTTCTATCTTTATTTTTTCCATAAATGCTGTAAGTAAAGCTTCCTTTACACACTATTTCAGACACTGGTTTTTGAACATTTGTTTTTATTAAAAATCTGTTATCAGTACACTAGTCTGTCTTTTCTGTTCTCAATGGGAAACATTACTAGCTGATGATGCCACTCTGCTGACGAGACATATATAACAAGCAGATGGCTGGAAACATAAACCACTTGCGCTGTCAATAGCGAGTATGCGAGTGTATATGGATATGGGATGTGTTTGATTTACAGAAGAGGGCTATGTCTGAACTCTCCCTAACCCTCTCTCTGTATGGTAATACCAGTTCTGCAGACAGCACACACTGTCCCTGTGGGCCCATAAAATACAAAGGAACTCTGTAAATCCATGACCTCTCCAACGAGGATATGAAAACCGTCGATGGTCCCTGCTTTAACAAGACCTAAGGGGGCTTCATGTGGAGTCAAAGAAGTGAAATAACCCTTTTAAAAAAGCTTAAATGGAGGGTTACACTGCGCTAACGTGGTTCACTGTGACCAGAGGGCTGTCACTGACCTCGTTGACTGAGCATCACAAAGGTGGTAATGACAGTGCATTTGTAATTTAAACTCTTACTTCCTTTCTGAAGCTGCTCCTTAGACATATTTCATGGTGGCAACATTTAGTCAATAATATCTGCCGACATTACTTTCTATGTACTACCAAGAAATTTGTATTTTTATCTATCAGTGGAAGGTAATGAAGATGTACTTGGAAAAAAATCATATTTAAAAATGACTTTTATTCTTGTGGACTGCATTTGTACCTCGCTCTGTAAATACTTATAAATCTTTCACATCCAATTTTGGATAAATGATAAGAACAACACACATCGAGGGCTGGGGTTGGAAGAAACAAGGTTCAAATGGTCCTATTTGACCTCACACATTTGCAGAAAATAAACCTGGCCACAAAACACATATGGTATCATAAAAGACAAATAAAAGCAACAGTAAAACAGATTTCATCGTAAATCACCCTGGTTACCAGGACACTAATGTAATTTGCTTCAGGCTGCCACTTTGACTTAGTCGAGTGGCCTGCGAGGCTTCAGTGTGTATTTCTGTGTAGGTGTGAGAGATACACATATCGACGGGGCCGGGTTATGTTAAAAAGTATAAATGGTTATACTTTGTTCATTGGTTCAAAGGTACCCCACACTTCTTTTTTGTTTGCTTGTTTGTTCTGGTACTCATATTTACAAGA